CGTGCTGCCAGCGGTAGAAGTTGGGCCGTTTGGCTACAGCCAGACTAAAAGGTCAACCAAAGGTCAACCGTATTAAATAACTTCAATCTAGACGAAATATTGTAATGTTTTCCGTGCTTAAAACCATTTATTTTGACAATAACGACTGTTCGAGCGTCGAAATTAGAAGTTCTATCCAGTGGGGGAAACACTTATGTGTTTCTAATAGAATTGGCTCATTTATTTCCATTTGGTCATTCCAAAACATTGCAAAACATTGCGCGTTATTGCGCGTTATGCATTTCAGGGAACTTCCGCTGGATAGTAGGATTGACATAAGACCGCAATAGTTGGCGATGTTGAAGCATATGTATAAATCAAGACTTTTAAGCATGACCGAAAGTTTCCTAAAAAGAATGCGTTGGAAAGCACATTTCTTCTTGAACACAACATCGGAGCATAGAGAATATCCATTCCACTTAAAAACGAGAAAATGCCCACAAGTGGTTCCTCAACTTGAACCCTTCGAAAGCGACATGTTCAACCTTGTAGAGGACATAAAATTTCGCAAAGCATCAACACCTTTTCAATCACAGTTAAACAACGACATCACTAGAATTAATGGTTCAGACAAAGTATTTGCATTCGCCGACAAGTCACGAAACATTTACGAGATGGATAAGGACAAGTACTGTAATTATTAAACGAAAACATCACAATTCACAAGTTCATATAAAGCAGCAGATGAAGAAGCAATCACTGATATTAATCGCGAATTGAAAGATATTACAGTGGAACTTGACATAGCAAACAAAATCGAAACGATGACGAACACGGACGCATTCATATCAATTAAAGGGCACAAAGAGAACTTCTGTAACAAACCAAAATGTAGACTTATCAATCCAGCCAAAAACAACCTTGGGCGTGTAAGCAAACAGATCCTAGAAAACATCAACAGAATGGTGCGAGCCAATACCAAGATAAACCAATGGCGAAGCACAGCAGATGTGATTGCATGGTTCAACACATTAGAAAACAAATTAACATTTTCGTTCATTGCATGTATTTGATGTTGTAGACTTTTACCCTTCAACCTCAGAAAACCTTTTATCGCAAGCTTTAAATTACGCCAGCCAATTTATTCTACCGATAAATAAAGGGTTTTTTGTTGACTGGGATTTCAATAACTCGGACTGGGATTTCTAATAAAAATCCAACTGGGACTGGGATTTTTCCAAAATTTCAGGTAGGAAATGGGATTGGGACCCCCCTTCAGGACCCTCGAAGAAGTAATATACAGCGGCTCTTTGTTGGAAAGCATGGTAGAATATGATACTTTAAAGTCTTTAATTCGAAATAGTATCGTGAATATATTAGTGGCATCCTCCCCCCTGTAAATCCAACGGTAAAGAAGGCCTGGTTGGCAACATAAGACTGTACAGAGACGATGGACTGGCGGCTTTCAAGAACGTGGGAGCCAGAACCTCGAACAGCATCGGAAAACGATTTGCAAAGTGCCTAAAGGATATGGAGGGGAATTAGGGACAAAATTGTTTCAGAGTCAAAGCATTATTGTGTCACGGTCAATTGTATCGTACTGGACAGGCAGGCATTGAATCGTACTGGATAGGCAATGGGTCGTACTGGATAGGCAATGGGTCGTACTGGATAGGCAATGGATCGTACTGGATAGGCAATGGATCGTACTGGATAGGCATTGGGTCGTACTGGATAGGCAATCGGTCGTA